TCACGGATTTTTTAAACTAGGGTCCGTGACTAAATCCGTGACTACAACCGAATTTTTTTGTAGTGATATGTGCTATAAAGACTACACATATAATACTTGTAATAAATATAAGCATAAATGGTGGGACTTTATCCCACATGCAAATTTGTGCAACACAATTTTTACTTTTTTATTTCATTTTCAAATCAACTTTTGCAACACTTTAAGAAATCAATAGAGAAATATAATATACGAAGTAACGAAGTACTTTTTTTTATTGAAAGAGGAGAATTATAATAAACATCATTAGCAGTATAATAATTACTGTAACCTACGGTTACTATGTAATACTTAGGAAAATCACTATAAAATATACTACCTAGCCACTTCATAAGCTAGCATTATACAGTAACCGTAGGTTACAATAATTATTACGGAGTACTACGTATAAATGTATAATGCTTCATAAATAAGCATCTTAAATAACTTAATATTAATGCTTCATAAGTAAGCATCTTAAATAACTTAATATACTCTGTAGTACTTGGTTTATTTGTGCTATTGTCATCATTCATATATACTATTTAATGGTCATAATAAAACATCAATTAAGACACTTTAATAATCGAATTGTTGGCGGCAAATACATTTTCACCTGGATTTCCATGTTACTTTTATAAAGATAAAGATTTGTATTCATGCCCACCTAAAGTGGTTCCACAAAAGCAATACAAACATATGTAAGCGGTAAAAATGAGGATTTAGTACAAACATTATCGTTTACTCTTTGAACTGAATAATTGAATGATTAGAGCATTATGAAGAGCGGCTATTATGCATGCTCGGGTAAAAGGGTGATTTACCAAAATACGGGATTCGTTCTTCCGACCAGAAATAGGTTTTTGAAAAGGGGGTGGGCTAGTGTCAGATACTCCAATTCCGACTAGGGGTTATTTTATTTTTAAAATTCATTTTTTTTAATGAACTGCCTTGAAGTTCGGAATTTTTTAATGAAGTGGGTTAGCCAAAATACCCTAAAATTTAATTAGGTTTCACACTTCATTAATTAAAGTAATATTTGGCTCCATTACTTTTTTCCCATAATTTCCGTATTAATTAACCGCATTTTGGCAGGTGCTTTGAATGATTTTTTATTTTTTTAAATAAAGTGAGTTTTTTGAAATTGAAGTAATACCTACCGTGCAATTTTTTAAAATGAAAAAAATGCATTTTGATTTTTTGAATAAGGATGTTTTTACTTGGACTGTAATTTGTTGGTTTGGTCTGATCTAGTCTGAATGGATCTGGTCTGGTCTGGTAAGGTCTGGTTTCTTTGTATTTTTATAACTATCTAAGTTTGGTCTGGTCTGGTCTGGACTGGACTGGTCTGGTCTGGGACAAATTACAGTCCAAGTAAAAACATCCTAAAAAAGCATTGATTACTTTATTTTATTTTTTAATTCATTCCTATTGTTAATTAAATTCATAAAATGAATTGAAGTACAAATTTCATTTGTTTAAAATGCAATTTTTGTAATTTTCTCTCACTAGACATTTGTATATACGGAGTGGTATATATTATTAAATACGGATTACTAGATAGTATATTAAGAGAGGAAGAAACTTTTTTTGAATTAAAAATTTGAGGTTGGGGAAAGAGTTTTATAGGATAAATGAGCACCAATATTAGGTAAAATTTGTGGTTTAAAATTGAACACGCTCCAAATTGGCTTTTACACTGATTGGATTTTAATTCATTTGTGACATATATAATTTGTAAAAAAAAAAAAAGGTTGTCCTTGTCGGATTTACCAATTCCGACCAAATAAATTGGAATTATGTTTTCCCTTGGGGTTGAACACTTGAACTCATTCCGGATGTAAATTAAAAAAAAAAAAAAAAAATTAGCTTTCCCCTAGTCGGATCATCCAATTCCGACTCCCGTATTTTGGTACCCTATTTGCCTTTCCCGTATTTTGGCGTGTGAGACCAAAAAGTCCCGCATTTTGGGAATATATACTCAGATGTATATAGATGGGGCTTGCAGAATACTCAGATGTTAATTAAAAAACATTAAATGAAGCAACACTCGGGATTCAAAAAGCCAGTGTGTATCAAGTAGTCTTGAATGTAAATTTATTGGAAACATAAAGGTTATGTATTTATACATGGCATCGAAGATTCGGGGGTTATTAAGCTATGCCGCCCAATAGTTTGCTTTGTACTTTTTGTTAACTCATTAAACAGATTTAAGCGGCGAGTACTGCCACTCCACGCCTCAATGCTGCTGGCTATCCATTTTTATAGTGTAGGATTTTTAGACCCCTAATGGCTATATAGCCCCCCCTCCCCCCATGCTGAAAACAAAACAAAAATGAATGTTTGGACCAAAGTTGAGACCGCTCAGTTCGGTCCCAAAATTATAACTCCGGATTGGGTACCCGAATTTCTGGACCCGGTTCAGCCCCAAACTCGTAAATGTAGAGAAAATTACCCCTCTTATGATTAAAAGAATATGAGGTTCTCAAAGTATGATTTCATAAGTTTTTCCCTAATCTAATGCTCCTATAACGTACATGGCCATACAGGTGCCTCTATGATTTATTTTAATTCCAATCATGTCCTCCACTAAGCAATAAATAAGTACAGAGTAGTTATGTCCTCCAAAAAAAATAAGGATTTAATTGAAAATGAATTAATTCCATTTTGGTAACTACCAAGTGCCTAGTAGTATGGCTGTATGGATGTAAAATTGTAAATTACATTATTGTTGTTGTTGTTGTTGCTGTTGCTCCTACTATTATATTAAATTATTATTATGATTGTTATTGTTATTCCGGATATTATTATATTACATATTCGAACCTTGTTTTTTTAGTATGTCATATTTTCCATTTCTTACTACACATGTACACCAGTATTACAGTATATATCAGGGCAGTAAATTCTTACTACACCAGTATATATCAGGGAAGTAAATTATTTAGTATAGTGTCCTCATTATGTATGTTATAATTTCACATGTTCAAATATTGTCCTCCTATATATGGGCAGTGAAGTACACATGATATAATTTCTTAGTATTAGAGATACTCTTGGTGATTTACTTTCGCTAATGTATTCATTTAATTGTCAAATGTATTATCATTTATGTAACAATTGAGCAGTAATTTATTTATAAATTGTCCTCATTTTCTCTAGTATTGATTTAATTGGTATATTTATTGCCCTCACTTTTTTCTATTGATTTACTTTTATTGTCATCATGTGGGCAATAACTTATATTATTATTGCCTTTACGTTTACTGCAATATTGACTTCTATTACTGCTTTTACGTTTACTAAAATACCAATTAAAAAAAGTAGGAAGTAGTATGAAAAAGGTACCTGTGGTTTGAGCCATTTTCAGATAGGGACATGTTTTTCCTTTTTTAATAAAATGACACATGTGTTTCAATTCTGTTATCACAGCTGGGCATGCCGTCTAACGCCGTTAGAAAAATGAACTCATATTCTCAAAAGTTTTCAAAAAATTAAAAAAAATAATTGGGAGGTACGCCTCGTCAAGATACGCCTCTAGTATAGATATTATGTCTATAGAAATAGTTCGTTAAATCGTTTTGTAAAATAATTCAATATAAACTCCAATATAAATATAATTGTAGACAATATTGTCAAGTTTATACATGAATAAAATGTTATACAATTACTTATTCCTCTTTAAAATATGACTCTAGGGCATTAGGAGTAGAGGTCACGTTCAAGGTTTCTACAACTCTAATTACATTGATTCTCTCCCTACAATTTCATTTTGTTTTCCTTTTAAAAAAATTCCTTTTTTGTTAACCGTGTGTCCACAAGGAATGTCCAGGATAACAAAGTAACTTTGCATCTTTATTAAATATCGTGCATATGCACATATTTAGTCATACGTTAAACAGAATTTATTTTTAGTCATACATTGGGAAAGTCTCTTTCTTTTAGTCATATAACTGCATTTTCCCCAAAAACATACCTAGTCTGATCAGTAACACTACCAGTCTGGAATGGGTGATGGATTGTATGTAAGAGTCAGGTTATATAAAGGGAAATTCTATTTACAAACACCCATTTACTAAACACAACCCACATTTTTTTAATTCTCATCCTACCCTTATTACGTATCAAACACAGTTACACAGTCTCGGCAATCGCACATCCACTGGGCGATGCAGGATGCAACAAAGCTTTAATAATAATGATGATGGCTACTCTCTTCTGATATTGACGTTACTAACTATACATACACACATGTATAGATATAAACTCACAAAGTAATTAGGAATTAATTTGTAGTTGTATTCCTTCCACCAATTTCTACTGCCAAAGTTTTCCAAGACACATAAGTTGCTAATTACTCAGTCGCCGTTTCCCTCACCATTAACCAAATGAAGACCTGTAGCGCATCTTCTGCTTGGGCTTCGGGTAGCTGTAAGGATGTTTTCTTTTGGACTGTTTTCTGTCCCAGACCAGACCAGATCAGACCAGACTTAAACAGACCAGACCAGACTTAAACAGACCAGACCAGACCAGACTTAAACAGACCAGACCAGACCAGACTTAAACAGACCAGGCCAGACCAGACTTGGATAGTTATAAAATACACAGAGACCAGACGTTTACCAGACCAGACCAGACTTAAACAGACCAGACCAGACCAACAAATTTCAGTCCAAAAGAAAACATCCTAAGTGAAAGACATGTCTAGATCCTTCCGCCTTGGAGTGCTCCCGGACGAGTGCCTTCCTGTTATTGCCTCCTCAAGAGTGTTGAGTTGCAGGTTGAGCTCCTCCTGTTCTCGCATCCGTTGTTCTTGCATTTCTTCTAATATAGTTATATACTTATATAGGGTTGATATTAGATTTATTTATTTATTTATTTGGCAAAAGATTTATTTTTATTTATTAATATTTAATTTAATGGTTGTGATTAGTAATTTGGGGCTGTGAATAGAATTTCCCTTATATAAATATATAAGGACACGGGTGGAACTCCATGCTCTAAGTGCAAACCTTTTAGCAAAACTGAAGGTTTGGTTTATAATATTCTCTTGGAGCAAATAACAAGTGCCACAAAATTAAATGCTACATACTCCGTATAAAATAAAAAATATTGCAATGATTATGCATTTTGTTGTAGTTATTTCTCTGATAAAATTGGCTACATCCCAGAGATTCAGAATGACTTTGTTGTGATCAACAAGATCTGAGTTTCCAAGTAGCTCTTTCATTAGTAAAATGGGGAGGTAGCACCAAAGAATGGAAAAATGAATGTGTAGAAACATTTGGCAGTGAGATCCTTGAGAACAAGATAGATCATGACGGGGTGGCTGACTTGCCATGTTCAGTCTGGGGGTGTATGTATTTGAACATACCAGCAAGCCCTCTCCCCCTAGCCAGCTGTTCAAGCTCTTCAATCTTGCTTTTAAGCACTTCGATATCCCTCGCTAACTCTTCCTCCCGTTGCCTCACTTGCTGAAAACCACACATTGAAACTATTGCCTCATTTGGTATACAAATTTAACAAGAGTGAAAACTAAATATTGACCAAAATTAATGCGAGGCCAATTACTTATCAGCTCAAAACCGAGAGCCAGTTTAGGGGAACTTATGTAGCGCACGACCTTAATCGTGATTAATTCCTTTTTAAGCACCTAAAGACTTAAAGATCTTGGAGTTTAGATATCGGTTGTTTTCTTAAATAAGCATAATGTTTGACATAAAAAGCGCTTCTTCAATTTCTTGTCAAACGCCTCCTATGATTTATTCATTTATTTTAAAATTTAAATAACCTCGAAGATACTTCAGAGTGAGTGGCAAGGGTGAGTACTCCTTACCAATTCCATTCAATAAAAGTTTCAAAAAATCTGAACATAATAAAGTCAATCTATAGGGAGTTGGAAGACCAAGAGAACAAGAATAGATTTCTGTAGAATCTTGGGAGATGGGGGAGTATGCGACGTGATATGCTTCCCGAGTTCCCCCTACATAGACGTGTTGTATTCTGCTCATGAAGGGACCAGAGGCGCCCATTGATGTCAACTAAATCTTTCCAAATTTTATGAGGAATATTTATGAATCCATTTCAACAAAATGTTATGATAGTTTGCTTGTAAACTAGATCTACACCACACCATATAGCATTACCTTACAATCAAATTGATGCTGCACAAATAAGCTTAACATTATGGTCACGTAATACAGCTCCACTAAAAGCTTTCCCAACTCGTAGTGAGGCATCTCTATTGAGTTTGAGGAGTCCATTGGGGGGAGTAGCTAAGTTGTGAGTTTGCTTAGAAGCATTCAGAGACCAACTGATTTTAGCAGTGAAAGTGCTTAATTTTCTATATTTCACCACCTCATAAGAAATCTCGATGCTAAGAGGATCTGATGAGGATAAGTCCAAGCCTGTTTTCAAATTTACCTTCATGAGTTCATGGAGATTATAATTTGGACCCCTAATCAATGCTTCAGCCATTAACAAAGAGATGTAAGGTGATAAGGGATCTCCCTACTTAGAACACCCTTTGCGGGTTGAAGAAGCCAAAACTAACCCCATTGATGCAAAACTACAAAATCGGTTTGTGCTAACTTGCCCAAAAATTTTGGAAACTCTGTCAAAAGCTTTGCCATACCAAGTTGAATAGCAATGTTAGAGCCTCTTTTTTGATGATCCAGCTACTTTATTAATTCAAAAGCAAGGACCTTGTCAGTAACTTCTCTTCCTGCCATGAAGCTCATCACATCCTTACCAATCATGTCCCAACATGATTTGAAAAGTTCACTTGTGTAGCCATGTGGCCCTGAAGCACTAAGAGGATAAAGGTGCTAAACTGCTACCTTAACCTCATCAAGCCTCCTGTAATTTTAATAGAAAAGCATAACCATCCAGAGAAACCAAGTTGGGATGATCCTAAGCATTTAAGTGTGATCCTTGGGGGCTTCCTCTTTAAACACATCAGTAAAGAATCTTAGACCCTCCGTCTGTATCTGTTCTTGAACAGCAAGTCAAACACAGTTATCATCTTGGATGGTTGCCTTCTTTCCATCAAACATTTGTGACTTCTATCCTTAACAGTTGCATGAAAAAATGGTATTACTCTCTTTGTCATCAAGCCATTTCATATGAGCTGTTTGAATCCCAAAGATTTCTTCATTCTTAAGCCGAATACATAGATCAGCCCTAGCTTTTGCACAAGGGTCATAATTGCTATCGGATAGACTAGAATAAAAATATATAACCGCCCTCTTGTAACAACTCTTCAGCCTGTTTAACACTATTAAAAACATTGCCAGAGATATCAAAGTTCCATATGCTGAATACCTTCTTCAAGAATAGTAATTTAGCAGCCAGTCTTCACATTGCTCCATCCTTCGTTGAACTTCCCAAGTCTTTTTATCAGTCACGAAAGCTACACATGTTGAAACCGATAACGATTAGGTCCACATGTTTGTACATTATCACCTTTTGACAGAATTAGGAGCATGAATTCAATTGAGCCTTTTGTAGCATCTGCAAAGCTGCCAGCATGTCCACTACCAATCCTAGTATATTCCCATCTAAATTTTGAAGGCTGCACGAAACACTTCTTTGAAGTAAACATACTTCTCTTCCTATTAAGAGTACTTATTCTTTGAAAATAAGTCACCCCAAACACACCCAATCGCATAGAAACACGAGCATTTTTGGGCCTGAAACTCTGAAGTGTTAATTCTGAGATGAAAAGGATCAAAAGTGACAGGTCTCACTGAAGCGAAGTTTGTGAGGCCACCTTACACAAGTGTTGATAACTCTCTCTATCAAGTATCACCAGTCACCACACCTGCCTATCCATGTTCAGACCTACCATAGGCTTCGCTGGGCTTCAGCCCAGGCTATCAATTTGAAATCCATATATACAGTGCAAAATTTTATTGTATTAATATTAACAGTCCAATCTTGTTATTGATCAGCCCGCCTCATGTCCAATCTAGACTATTGTATTTGTAGTTTTTTGGACCTATGCAAACTCATTTAAACTGCCCAACCATCCACATCCAACAACTCGAGCAACACTTATCTCCTTTTCTTAAACTAAATTCATTATCTAGCCAGGCTCCTCTCAAATTTTGGGTTTGCCCATGTACCTATATCACAATTATATTTATTTATTTACTATTATCATCACATACTTGGTACCAGAGCCATCACGTTCCTGTCCGGTTCATCTTATTCCACACCTTTTCTGTTTTATCACGTTCCTGCTTGGTTCAAATTTTTCCCTGCCCTTTCTATTTTATTTTCCTGTTTAGAATCCTCCAAAAAAAAATACTGAAGTCAACAAATCAACAATCCAGAATCTTTGGTTATGTGGGATCGGCTTCTGCTCTACTCTGTCAATGGAAAAATGTGAGTAGTTGCAGCTGTTGTTTATTAGTTAGCCCTTAGATTCCTTATTTAAGTTCCCAAAAAAATCTTATTGCTGAACCAGCACATCCAACTCTTCAAGCAAGAAGTCAAGAACGATGCAGGTCGATGACGCCTCACTAGTGACAAAACTCCACGGTGCAAATTGGTATATGCGTGGCCAAGAACGTAAGTAAAAAACTTCAAGAATTGAATGTCTCAATCTCTGAAAGACTGAAACAACCAAGGCTCTTGCAAATGCTGTGCAGGGATCTGACTGCCGCTACAAGGAAACTTGCTTCTATCAATATTCCTCCTTCAATGCAGACTTTTGAAACCGCAGAGGAAAAAGTGTCATGATGTCCTGGCCCCTGGGACTGGACGTCAAAATCGTCGACCTTAACATTATCAAACATGGTTGTTTGTTCGTCTCTTGTCCTCAAGCTTGATGTCCAAGAGGAGGGTAATGATATGGGTTTTGCAGGAGGATTAAGAAAGTGAGAAATGTGTGGTGGAGAGTTGTGCAAAAGAAAGAGAAATGTGTAAGAATGTGCAAACATTGTTGTGAACCATAAATTCTTTGCCAAAAATAAAAGAAGTGATTATTTTGGAACAAACGAAAAGGGAAAGTTGGAAGATAATTCATGGACAGAGGGAGTTATTATTATTTCTATGTCTGCTTTAGGCAGCTTCTTTATTAGCATTTATCTCCTTTTATAATTATTCCTATTCTGCTTTAGGCAACTTCTTAGTTAGCATTTATTTCCTTTTTTTAAACTTAAGTGACCATGTTACTACACTCTAGTAACAATTAGTCATATTTGTGTAATTAAATTTTATTTTAGTAATATTTTTGAGAAAAAAACTCTACTAATAATTAGAATAACACAATAACGTTAATATATAGGGAAAAGGGTCAAATAAAGTCTTGTACTATTACAGAATCGTCACATAAGGTCATGTACTTAATGAAGTGTCATATAAATACGTCTACTTATAAAAAGCAACCGGATGAGTCAAAACAACCCGTTGACAACCTCGTAATTCCGATTTTAGCGTATGTCTCGCTATCTTTTTTAAATAGATTATAAGGCCGATGTGAAATATTTGGTCACGATTGGCTTAATTACAAGGCAAAAATAATGACACGTAAGCTAAAAATAGGATTAGGAGGCCGTCAAAAGGTTGTTTTGACTCATCCGATTACTTTTTATAAGTAGACGTATTTATATGACACTTTATTGAGTACATGACCTTATGTGACGATTCTGTAATAGTAGAGAGCCTTATTTGACCCTTTTCTCTAATATTTATAGTAATGATGATGAAGTTAATAGTAATAGTTATAACAATAGTAGTAATGTTGATATGATCATGTCGTAGATTTCATATTGATATCATTATATGCCAATTTCATATCAAATTTCAAATGTCCAAAATTGGTGTTCTAGACTTGCACGTAGGAGTGTTTTACATTCCTTAATTCTATATAATGTGCAGCTGGGTTCAATTTGAAAGAAAGCGCAAGTGATTTCTTTTTAAATCTGTTCATTCTTCTATTTCAACTTTCCCACACCAGCTGGAGAGGAAAGTTAATCCTCCGTGTGGGCTTATATATAGAAGTCACTCTAATTTAGTCTGGTAAACAAGTGTGCTCAATTCTTTTTGGGTCGAGCGCCTTTTGTCACGCCTAATGAGCATGTGGGGCGTTTTGGTTAAGCCTTGCGCTTAGACCTACCTAGGAGGCGCCTAATGACACCTTTAGATCACTGTACAACAACAACAGCATTCAAGCCTTACTCCCAAAAGATTTTGAGTCAACTAACATGAATCTATCCATTATATCAGAGCCAAAAGAAGAAGAAAGATAAGAAGGATAAAAAGATAAAGTAAAATAAAATGAATACAATACAAATAAATATAAGATAAAAATAACATAAGAACATAAGAAAGTTAAAAGATAAAAAGATAGAGATATTACCCAAAATAGGACTAAAAATGTTTGAAAATTCCAAAATAGGACTGTCATGTTTTTATTCCCAAAATAGGACTAATTAATGTCATGTTTTGGCAGTACCAAACTTCAAACATGGCAGTATTTTCCAAACATGACAGTAATTACTCCTATTTTGGGAATAAAAAACTTGGCAGTCCTACTTTGGAATTTTCAAACTGTTTTAGTCTTATTTCGGGAACTTTCCCAAAAAGATAAAAAGAGCATAAGAAATACTACCTACGTCCCATTTTATGTGTCTTAGTTTGACTTGACACAACTATTAATGAAGTTGTTGAAAAAGTAAAAGTTGTGGTTGAGGTTTGAGTATAATAAAGTGAAATGGTGTACGCCACATATTTCTTTCCTAAAAAGGAAAGGAGACACTTATTTTAGGACAACCCAAAAAGGAAAGTAGGACAGGTAAAATGGGATGAAGGGAGTATGAAAATAAAATAAGAACATAGAAAGATAAAGAAGATAAAAGAAAACCAGAGTGAAAAGAGAGAAAGGAGATCAATCGCCACACGGATATGCGCCCTCCATTTTGCACTCTCCAAAGTCATATTCTCATCCAACCCAAGAAAAAACATATCAGTTGTGGTTCCTCTAATTCAAATCTGTTTGGGTTTTCCTCTCCCTCTCCTCCCCACCTCTTCTCCCCCCCCCCCTCAAGTCGTCTAACAGTTGCATCAGTCGGTCTTCTGCGCATATGACCAAACCAACGTAATCGAGCGGTCTATTATTATAAAAAAAAATAATTAACTCCAACTAGTTGGGGTCGATGGTATTAAAATTATAGCGCCGATTAATTTTATGAAACTAATTGACGCTATACATTTATGCAAAATGCATAGTGGCAAAGTTTTACGTAGGATGCCCTTCGTTGCAACCTTCATAAGAAGGAACAATGATGAGATGAAAATTTGAAAACCGGTAACTAAACATTCCCCAGTACAGACTATGATTTTAGTAGAATGCTATATACAACAACATTCAAGCCTTATTCCCAAAAGATTTTGGGTCGGCTAACATGAACCGGTCCATGATAGCGGAGCCAAAAAGAAAAGAAAAGAAAGATAAGAAAAATAAAAGGATAAGTTAAAATAAAAAGATAAGATAAAGAGAAAGATAAATATAAGATAAAAGAACATAAGAAAGATTAAAGATAAAAATAACATAACATAAGAAGTAGTTTGTGGATCTTTATTTATTGAACAAAGCTAAAGTCATTATGGTAGCCAAATTTGTTAAATAAGAAGATACATGCAAGCATAACATTTGAAATATTACCTCGATATCTCGTCGCCGAAGTTCCTCCTTCTTAGCTTCTGAGCGAGAATTACGTTGCACTTCAAAGACAAGAGCTGCTACAGCCACCTGTTCAGGACTATTCTAAAAGTTACCCAACAGGCCAACAGATATGTTAACTAAAAGACATAATTCGCGAAGTAATATGTTGCTCTGGAATTGGAACATCACAAAAGATAGATATTCTTTTTTTTTTGAGAGACAAAAGATAGATATTCTCTTCAACACCTACCAATATAGTTATGATCTCATTATGTTCGCCAGAAACCAAAACCACAATGAAAAGAAGATAAGAACAAAAAACAAGTAGTGTGTCAATTCTACGATAGAAGAACAAGTTGACTAAGAAGAAATGGTCCCTAACCATAAAGGACGAAAATATATATTCTAACCAGATTTAACCAGATATTGTCATTTTAAGAAAGGGTATCAACTCTAAGGTTTGATTGGTTAACATGTCTGTCTATCTGTTATGCTATTCATTCATTCATTTGATAGGCTTAATCAAAAGAATAGTACAATATAAGATTGGGACTTTAAATTCCTAAACAGTCATACAGGTCTCCAAAGTGTGAAAAGGTAGCTAACATGTACACAAATTTTAGTAGAAAAGTTAAGTTCTAGCATGTTGTTTTTCCCTTTGTAATGTTTCTATGATGAAATATGGGTGTTGCAATGAGCAAATATTGAGCATAGTTGAGGAAATTACAAGTTAACTTATAGAATCAGACAATTTAACAAAATCAGGTAGCAGCAACAACGATAGCATCTAAGCCTTATTCCCAAAATATTTTGGGGTCGGCTAACATGAACCGATCCATGAAATCAGAGTCAAAATAAAAAGAAAGATAAGAAAAATAAATAGATAAGTTAAGATAAAAAGATAAGAGAAAGAATTCGATTGAAGTAGGTTAAACTCATTAAAGGAATTGCTGAGTATAACCAAGCTCGCTGAGTTTGATCCTTGATAGTATAACCCAGTTTGAACGCTCATAGATTTCTAATTTATACTTCGTAGTATAGACAAAAGGGATACCGTTAAGACAGATCTTTGAGTAAAGTTTCAACTTTCAACCGAGGAATGCTTTGTTCCAAAAATCCTTACCAGATATGCACTTTGTGATAGGGACACGACTGCTAGTCTAAATAAGGGGAATAGATTTGGGCAAGTGTATTCTAGAAGGCCTAAATCGACTAGCTCTGTTATTAGTAAAGTTGTTAATAACTAATAACAACCTTCTATGGGGGGAAGGTTATAAATAGAAGGATTCCTGCAGCAGGAAAGGAGGCTGTTAGACTGTTAGTCTTGGGATTGGGAAGTTGGAGTATTATCTCCTTCTTGGAACTGTCTGTATTGTCTCTCTCTTTTTGAATAAAGTTGTTGATTGATTTCTTGAGTTGAACTCCTATTGTGTAGCTAGAATTCTTATCCGATTGTTGCCAGATTCTGTTTTACCTATCACTTTGATCAGAAAAATGGCCAAAAGGTCTGATACAATTAGCTCCCGGATGCTACCAGATGACTTGCAGTTTTTTATTTAACTTACAACCATAACAGTCTCATTTGAAATTCACTACACATATATGCATTCATGTATCATTCACTGTAGTTCCAAACTGCTGATTTAGATAGTTTCAATAAAAAAATCTATCATTCAGGTCTTCAAGATATAAAACTAAAACAGTTACCTGAGTTAGGGAGTACCAAAGTAGTAAGGGTGTAACAGTCCCTTTAGTATTACTTAGTCTCATTTTTGGAACTTCAAAAAAAGGTCTCTTTTTTGTCCACATCTCTTTTTTTAGTGATATTTCAGACATAACCCTATTTTATTAACATAGCAAGAAGGGGAGCCTTGGCACACCAATTAAGGTGTTGTTGTTGTGTAACCAAGAGGTCACGAGCTCAAATTTTGGGAGCAGCCTTTTGTCAAAAATTTGACAGGGAAAGGCTTGCTCCTTATACAATCTTGTGGTGGAACCCTTCCCTGAACTCTAGCCTTGCGAGGATGCCTTTGTCACCAAGCTGGCCTTTTTTAATTTATTATCCTAGCAAAGCTCCCTTTTGTAAAAAGGGATTGCATGCATATGAATGCAGAAAACAAGGAAATAGAAATCCTAGAAAATCACTTCCTAAAATAAATTAAGTAATGAAGGTACTAAAATCAAATCATAATAAATCAATCAGCTATTACTCCTCAATATTCACTTGATTGCTCTTTTTTATCTTTCCATAATATTATACTGTAGCATGCATCAGAGCACCTGTGTCTGTCCATATATTTTAGGGCATCGTTACTGTCAATAATTTACTCATATAACTTTGGACAGACTGGTGAAGTGTTAAGTTTCCCAGAACCTGGTGGCTTCCTCACTAACAAGTAGCAGCTTTATATGCTCACTGTCATCTCAAACTAGTAATGCATCTATATCATGACGATGAATAGTTTCCGACCACTTGAATCATTCCCATTGGCACCAACATATATTTCCATGGACATTCCCCAATGGGTTGACTAAATTACTTCCTTCTTATAAATTATAATATAATAAATGTGAGCACAAACAGTCCATAAGAGAGGTATACAAACACGTTTCGTCGAGGTAAAATGGAAAGTACCTACCGAGAAAATAAAAATTTCCCCAAAAAGGTCTACAGCATTCTGTACAGCTTTCTCCTCATTCAATGGTCGTATTTCAACATCCGTTGCATGACCATAGATACGTCTTTGCATTGTCGTTGTGATTCGGTGGTTTGCCTGTATAAAGCAATAGTAAAGATAAAGATAAAGAAGACATTCGTCACTTGCAGAGATTTCAAGTTAAAAACAGCAAACTATTCTTAGAGAGCTAGTGCAGAGAGTTATTAGCCTCGATTCCTTGAGACCAACAACTGCTCTAGTGCTCTGCTAATCTAAAAATTTAACACATCTATTCCAGCTGAAAGGAATAAGAAATCTTTTTATACGCTCTACTGAATATACTTTTGCTAAAGTTTTCCTAACAGCAAATTAATGAAATGAATTGATAAGTATTACACAAATCCCATGTTAGGTCCACGCCTTTCATTGTACACACATTTGAGACATGACTATTCATTCTTGCTCATCCGTGATCCTTCCAGCCGGCGATTATAAGCACCGAAATTTTATCGGGGTTTTACGCACCGGAAATTTAGCTGGAAGGGCCACTAGTGTGTAAGAAACAATTATCGTGTCAAAAGTGGACAAAGCCAAAAATATGGACTTATGTGAGATAGGTATAATACTTGTAGGACCAAAAGTGAAATTTATCTAAAATAAAAAGTACTCCGTAATAGATAACAATAAAAGTCATCTTAGAGTGAAACCTGCATAACAAATTTCATTGATCCAACATTAACGGATATAACTCCGTCATGTAATCATTTTTGGTATCATGCATCCAAGCCATGATAGAGGAGGAGGATGTTGTGGTATGTGCACGATGACCAACAATATCACTTAGTCACATCACATTGACATGATACGAAATATGAATATCGTTGCCGCTAGGTCGTCATCCGTAATTCTGTAAGTGACTCGGCATCCCTCCAGGCCTCCAATATACATGGCACGGCGTAAGTCGAGTCGCATCGCCAGCCAACGGCCATATCGCCTAGGCAATAAGTCACTCGCCTAGGCGACTAGTCATATATTGTATAATACTACGTATATATTATATATATAATTATATTTATATATAATTATGTATGTAATTATGCATTATGTATAATATATTACTAATTAAATTGTATATCACTTAGAATTGAAACCCACAATTAATAAATAAAAAAATGGAAGAAATAGGCTTAAATCGATATCACATCATTCAGATAATGGGTAAAACTAGAAAAAGACCACTAGCAACCACCGACCCATGAACCAGACTCAGAGTTAATCACCTCTACAAAAGCAATATAACTCGTTGATTCATTAATGAGAGCAAATTAGCCAAAGACAGTTAAAGCAGAACTCCCGTCACCCACATCCAAATCCACAGTTTTACAATAAAATAAAACACAAAACTGAAAGTAAACAGTATACTCCAAACAATTAAAAGCAGAAACGCAAAGAAATAAAACTCTTGCCTCGTCTTCCAAAGCACCACTATCATCCACATTCCCGAACCCTCCTTCAGTCTCAGATGCTTCGGCGGGCCTAAGAATCGGAGCCTGCCTACTCCCGGTTTTTTGGCATGTCCAGAACCATGTTATCCCCAACTGGATTCTCTGCTTCCTGAGCATCCCAAGATTCGCCTGCGGTTTTGCGGTTTTGCTCCCCTGACACTTCCTCGGTGCTCCCAATCTTCCCATCTTTTCTCGTGCTATTAACTGTACCCGATGTGGATTCCTTCCTATCCCCTCCTGCTCTTCCATCCGACTTGTTATCCTCTTTGAGATGGAGTCCCCGACCTGAGCTCGATGACCCATCTACTAGCCATTTGTTACCTCATGTAGGACAAGTCTTCACCCCACCACCCGCTCTAAGGTGCACCCCAAAAGTTTTTTCCAGTACCAGGTTATCCTCATATGTCAACGGACAGAACTTATCAAAATGACCAATAATACCACAAATAAAACAAAAATTGGGTAGCTTTTCATACTTAAAATCCACCAAGTGGTCGATCCCTCATATGTTGAGGGTTGTACCTTTTTTCAGAGGTTTTTCCACATCCAAACATACCCTGACACACAGATAAGCTTCCCATTTTTCGTCAAATTGGTTTTTATCATAGCTAACAAATTTACCAATAAAATTACCAAATCTTCTTGCAGTGCCTAGATTCATGAAACTATAAGGAACATTATGAACTTGTACCCAAAACTCTGCCTCATTGAGACTAATCTAAAGCGGAATGTCCTCCGCCTCACCTCTTTTAGAATCAGAGGATTCTTTCAAACTGCCACGAGCCGCCCTTCCTCGCGTAGGAGAAGACCTCGTCGTTGCTACCACCGCTTGCCTCCAACACCTCTGCGCTCTGCGACCACTCACCCTCACCCGAAGTTGCTGGATAACAAAATATCCGCCTTTGGTGGCCACTCCTCGACAATGTCGATAGCGGAAAAACAAACACTAGTGGTAGAGAACCGCCCTAGAGAGAGTATTTTTGAAACCCACGATTAATAATTGAATATAAGGTTTATTAATGGGAATTAAGAGTAAAAATGTTTGTCTCAAATAAGCATTGTAAAGATCAAATTACTGAGTTTTCAAAAATCATCAAGGACTAAATCATCTCTACGGCCTTCATGGCCCTAATCATCATCATCATCACGAGTAAGAGTAGGTGGTGTTTGGGCAGAGTCATCTTCAATATTATTTGCAAAACTATCTTCTTCATTATTCATGTCTTCATCAATCAACTTTAATGAATAATTCAAGCCATGGCGTCAATAATAAATCGGTTCTCCGCGAGAGCTACTAGTTCTAGGAAGATTACAACTCTCAAGATTGTTTGATTCACAGACAACTTCATCAGCTTAACTCCATAAAAGATCATCGGCGAATGAACAACATCGTTGCTGACTCATTATTCATTGTCTAATTGGAACTCTTCAAATATTAACGGGTTGAAGCTCATTTCTTGTTCACGCCGCTTCTGAAATCTATTTGCTATCATTCGATTATACTAAATAAAAACCAAGTCATTTAACCTCTTATGCTCCAACCTGCTTCTTCTATGGAATGAATTTAAAAAAATAAAAAATACATTTGATTAGTATTTTGATTGAATTAGTCAAAATATTATATAATTTGTAATTGTAGTTAGTACTCTATCACTACTACTTACAAACTTAAAAGTGCTCCAATTACGCTCATAGCAAGAAAGGGTACAACAGAGACCAATTATGCGTTTTGCGAGTGATTGCAGTTCAACAGTGAGTCCACCAAAAGCTTCCCACCAACTTTTGAAAAACTGGTTTTGATTTTGTTTCTGCTTTCTAAAAAGCAGAATTAATTCAAACACCCCTTAAAAATTTAATGACTCAACAATTCAGCAACTCAAGTCTGAATGTCAGATGCGTCATAGGCCCATAGCATGTATATCATTATATCATAATATCATTAAAATTGAAGTATATATATACACGTATATTAACATAGGGTGAGGTTCAAATAAGAAGAAGTCTTTATGTGAGAAATGAGAATGAATCTCAGCCGTTGGATTCGACTATTTTGCAGTAAAAACACTTGATATTGCATTGCAATATGCAACCTAGTTTGGTGGCATTTTCTGAAAAAATCGGTATTACAGCCGTCTAGTGCAACATGAAGCAGTTTTGGTGCAACATCGTCAAATATTAGTGCAACATGAAACAGTTTCAGTGCATCATTGCCAAATTTAAATCTTACCACAACATTAAGCTATTTTTAGTGCAATATCGTAAATCTAACGGTTGAGATTCATTCTCATTTCTCCCATTAGATGCATTTCTCACTTGAACCAAAATCTATTGACATATATATATATATATACACACACACACACTTTTAATTCCCGGAGAGGCCACCGGAGTGGGGAAAAGCGTCGGGGAACACTTTCCACTTTTATTAAAAAGATGAAATTACAAACAGGTTTCAACATGAAAACAACAAGTAAAAGCAAAAACATAAAGTTTAATAGTTAAAATGTTTTGGCACCCCGACAGTTGTTGCGAGCGACCGGTTGAATTTGTTATGAAACTGGATTGCCCTTTGTAGATAAGGAGGATAAGTTTTTGCCTCTAGATGTAACGACTTATAACGTTTGAGGCCTGTGACAAGCTTTTGAGGCGAGTCATAGTTTGAGTATATCGGGTAGATGTAGTAGTCCCCGTCGTCCTGAAGCGTTTTTTATTGGCTTCTGGTCATCGGGTGGTTCTCGGGGGAGATCGCCAATGTAACTTGTTCCTTAGCCTCTGCTATCACATGTGCATTAGTTGGATCTGTTGTCTGGTCTGAGATATCCTCAATCGCCTTCTCAACCCGTCGGATCATATATGAGCCTTCTGAGACTATGTTCTAGGCCTCTTTGTCACCTTTTTTCTCATGGGGAGTGATAGAGGTTCCGGCCTCATCATGCGTTTCTTTAGCCAAATCTTCTGTATTCTTAGCAACTTCCTTGTGTTTCTCTGCTAGCTTTTTGCAAATAAATGGATAATGCCATATTCTTTGCAATGAAAGCGAAAATCGGATAAGTTTCATACACCACTGATTGCTTAATAATCGTCCAGATAGAAGCTCGGTTCTTGTTCACGTCGCTTCTGAAATTTAGTTGCTATCATTCGATTATACTTCCTCCGTTCGGATATAGTTGCAACACTGAGGTTCGGCACAGAAATTAAGAACCACCCCCACTAACTTGTGTTTTCCCTTTATATCCTTGGTTACTCCAAGGACGGGTAAATATTTGAACAACAAAACCTGCTACAGTGTTTCGTTGGTAACCATACATCGCTTATCCTTTGATTCATAAAAATAAAAATAATCAACACCTTCAATTATTTGTGCTGAGTAAAAATTACCAGAGAAACTTAAAACAAAAATTCATAAACCATAAATCTCAAACGAATAACGAGAAGAAAATAAAACCCAGAATTAGAAACTAAAATCAATCATAGATCGTTAAGATACGAAGAACATGGATAAAACATTAATTTATCACCAGATTATTAGATGAAAAGTGGTTAACTGGAAAAAAAATAGAAAATTAAATTATTTCTTGTGGAATCCTCTTTCTCCATAAATTGCTTTGACAAAAAAGTCTCAAGAAAAAGATTATCATGTAGATATGGTTGATTCAATGATGAACTTGATGGTCATATCTTGAGGGAGACCAAGAGAAACAAAAAGATTTGTGTCTAGCTTCGTCATTCAAACCTTATAAGACCAGATCTCTGTTTTTCGAACACGAAACAAAAAAGTAAAGTATTGATGTAGAAAGGAAAGAAATGATGAGGGGGGAAAGGAGAAGAGATTGTGGTAATAAACGGAAGAAGAAACTTGACTGATGGAGCTAGCCTCGGAGGAAAGCCGGAGAAGAAGATAGATATGTAGTGAGTATATCTATCTGGGTCAGTAAATACGGAGTAAGAGAACTGGGAGTAGCGAGTGGGGGTAAGTAAGTTGAGGGTATTAAAGTCACTTTCCATGTTACTTTTTACCCAAAATAGAAAGGTTGCAATTAATTTAGAACTGCCCAAAAAGGAATGTGTTGCGATTATTTAAGAACGGAGGAAGTACTAAGTAAAAACCAAGTCATTTAGGAAGTGTTTGCAACTGCTTCTGCTTAAAAAAAAAGCACTTTTGAAGATGTAAGGAAAAAGTGATTAGTAGTAAAAGTTGATAGTGTTTGAGAAAAAAGTGATTTTGAAAAGTAAAAGTTGGTAGTGTTTGGTAAAATAAGTGCTTTTTGTGTAATAGAAAAGGGAAAAGCATTTTTCACACGCAAGCCGAGAAAAAGTAAATTTGGTAGTGTTTGGTAAATAAGTGCTTTTTTAAGCCAAAAGCTGAGAAGTGCTTTTTTTAAATTGTTGCAAACACTCCCTTAACCTCTTATGCTCCAACCTGCTTCTTCTATTGAATGAATTTAAAAAAATAAAAAATACATTTGATTAGTATTTTGATTTAATTAGTCAAAATATTATATAATTTGTAATTGTAGTTAGTACTCAAGCACTACTACTTACAAACTTAAAAGTGCTTAATAATCATCAAGTTTTTTATCATTATAAATCTATTTGGTTTTATGCTTAGGTCATTCATAACTGAGGTCATTCACCTTCTTAGAGAAGTGGATAAGTATAGAGACACTAAAAAGGATCTCCATTTAGTGTTCATTAACCTCAAGAAGTCTTTTGGTGGGCCTTAACTAGAAAAGGCATATCACATAAGTATATCAGTATCATCATGCATATGTATGAGGCTTCTACTACACGTTTTCATACTAGTGTAGGGAGGACTGCAGAGTTGCATATTACTAGTCCACCAAGGATTGGCTCTAAGTCATTTCTTATTTGTTATAGTCATGGATGAAATTATGAAGTCAACTCAAGATGATATACTGTACCGCATGATGTTTTTCAATGATATCATATCGATTGATGAGACACAACCATGTGTTAAAGTAAAGTTAGAATTATGGCGATAGACATTGGTGACCAAGGGTTTCAGATTGAGTCAAAGAAAGACTGAGTATATGGAGTGCAAGTTTGGTGGAGGTAGAAGTAGTGGTAACAGTGGGATTACCCTTGAGAGCAAGGAGATACCAAGTTGTGTGATATGTTTCATTAATTGCGCTCCATAATTTAGAAGGATGGTGAATTAGATAGAGATGTATCCCATAGAATCGAAGCAAGGTAGATGAAATGGAAGAGTATATCAGGATTTCTATGTGATCGAGGTTTGCCGACTAGATTGAAGGGTGAATCTTATCGGGCAGCAGTTAGGCCTACATTAATATATGTCTTAGAGTGTTGGGCGGGGAAACAATGTAACATTCAAAAAATGAGTGTGGCAGAGATACGTATGTTGCGTTGGATGTGTGGACATATCACTTCTTCAGGAAGGAGATAATCTGACAAAGGTGGGAGTAGCACATATAGAAGATAAGATACAGGAGTTTCAATTGTGGTGGTTCATTATTTCGGAGATAGAATAGAAAATAAAGACCGAGTGATGCACCTGTTAGATGAGTCTCGGGGTTAAGAGAAGAGGCAGAGAGGAAAAGGAGAGGAAGACCTAAACAGACTTGGATTAGTCGATTAGAGGAATCAAAGCTAATATGATTCTTCTTGGGTTGGATGAGAGTATGGCTTTGGAGAGAGTAAAGTAAAGGGCGCATATTCGTGTTGATCTCTTTCTCTTTTTTCTCTTTTTTTCTTTTATCTTCTATGTTCTTATGTTATTTTTATCTTTTATCTTTCTAATGTTCTTTAATCTTTTTATCTTTCTTATGTTCTTATGTTATTTTTGTCTTATATTTATCTTTATCTTATTCATTTCATCTTATGTTATCTTTGTTTCATCTTATTTCATCGATTCATGTTAATCAACTCAAAATTATTTGGGATTAAAGCTTGGATGTTGTTGTTGTTGCAACATTAATGGATATGCCATATGAGCATTAGAAAAGTTAGGCACTTATGCTTAGAAAAAAATCACTAAACAGCCCAATGATTCAGTAAGATAGCATTTCTGATTATCTAAATTTTAGCCCAAAACTAATTCGATTTCCCCTTTCCTGAAATATATTTAACCTTGCAATTTTTTTGCTACTCCTTCCTTTTCAATCCAAGTGTGGCTTTAGATAAAAACAGAATGCTCCAAATAAGTGCTTTTTGAATATTAAGAAAAGGCATTAGTGGTTCATTTCCACAAATGAGCTTCTTCAAATAAGTCTGACACTTATTTGAGAACAGATGAGATAATAAATGGTATTGTTTTAATTTTTGAAAGAGCCTCCCCAAAAAAGGAAATCTTAGTCCACTTAAGAACTTTTTTGTGACAAATTTCAGTTCGGCAATTTTCTGACCACAAATTCCAGACCCTATTAAATAGATTTACTTCAATCAATTCAACTACAGTCGATAATCTTCCGAGCAAGGGCAGAGCCGGGGGGGTCAGGGTGATCAACCGACCCTCCCAAGGTAGTCAAAGTTGAAAGGCGCACTTGAAGCGCTAGGGGCCTTCCAGCGCCTGAGGCGCAAGACGCAAAAAAGCGCTCGCCTGACTCGGGTCAAGCGCACTATTCAGAAAATATTATGTATACTATTCTAGAGTGATTCAATATGACATATTCAACATCATATTGAACTAAATGCATCAAAAAGTCATGTTTCTAAAACATAAAGTCATGATTCACCAAACTAAAGTCATTGTTCACAAAAAAAAGCGGGGTCTGTCCGTTGATTTTGCAATTTCAGCACTAGGGATAGCATAAATTATAGTGTATGAAACTATTAACTGAGTTAGATTATATGAAGTTTTTATACAGTTAAAATATGAAATGATAATAGGAAGATACAGAGTTATAGAGAGTATAATAAGATAAAATAATATAGAGTACAGATAATGTAAACTGGTAGTCAGGTACATATAATATATTTGAGCTGTATAGAATATATTAGAAGCAAAAAGAACTATAAAGTATACATAGATGACTGGAACTGATAAATGTAAAGAAAGAAGATAGACCGAAAGAATAAAATGAAAGGATCCCCAAGAAGATGACATAATAAATGAAAACTACAAGCTGAAAAAGAAAGAAGAAGGAACATGGGAAGATGATGAAGAAGAAGACACCTTATGAGTTTCTGGTTTCTGTGGGTTCGTTGAATGTGTTTCAGTGCTGAGCATGTTGTGCAAGTAGAGCATATAGCAGCGCAGGAGATTCACGATGAAGTCAAGACTCAAGATAGAAGACTTTTCCCACGACTAAGAAGGGTTTAATATGGGTTTAAGTTTTTTTACCTATTATTTGGATGGGCTAAATCTTATTATAAGTATGGGCTTATTATTTAAAAAAAGGATCAAACAAAAAATAGGCACTGATAAGCCTTTCCCAGCCCAGGCGACTTAAGCGTGCGCTTTTCCCATGCTATGCGCTTCGGCGCCTAAACTGCGCTTTAGACAGGGAGTTGCGCCTGGGCATTCTTCAGTCGCTAAACCTCATTTGCGCTGCGGCTGGTGCGCTTAAGCGCCCAGGCGCTCGCTTTTGACTACCTTGGACCCTCCTGAAAGTTTGAGAGTATAGAACTCTGAAATACCTTCGATTTGATAAATTATGGATCTCGTAACTCATTACGAGTAAAACGTTGTGACATCTGGAAAATCGGCACAATCTAAACTTAAAATTAGTATAATTTGATGCGTAATATTGATTATATTCTCAAATTTTAAAAATAACGTATAATTCACCGATTACTTAGGTGACAGGACTCAAGAACTTAGCAAAGATAACCTATCTTACAGTTATGAGTGCCTACTCAATAACCGATTCTTTTCTAGTAAGAAATGTTGACATTAAACAGGGTGAGAGATAAATTATAGAGTTCTAGGTAGGGCAAAGCGTCTCATCCGAGGCAGCCACCGGTGCAGATACATGTTGACTAAACCAGTATAAAAACAAGTTTGTAATATATTTGACGTATATATCAAATATATAACTCTATTAGTGTCATTTGGACTAACATTTATCTAAACTACATTCAATTCGGGTATTGTCTAAAAATGATCTACCGTTTTTCTTATGTATAAAGTTGAATTTCGACCCCTCGGTTGTTTTTTGGCTCCGCCCGTGCTTTCGAGACCATCCATCTACGACTACAACTCTACAAGCATCTTTAAAAAAATTGTGATCATGATGAATCAATGAATCATTCATATTAGCTATCAGTATTCGCATAACCTATACCAATAAAAATGAATGAAAAGCACGCATATGTAAAGATATTTACATACAAATCGAACTACCTGAGCCATGCTGATGATGAAAGTGCGGAACTTGGGGTGTCGCCCGGCTTCCGTCTTTAGCCGAACGGCAATGGGTTTACTCAGAGTCTTCAACGCGAGCGTGCCGAGCTTCAAAAGTGGCAGCACCATTATTTCCTACTTTTGAATCGATAGTATCTCTACCCAGATCTTGGGCATCTAAGGAATCACGAATAGCAATAGTCTCTCTTAATTCCCCAGTCCATACATATGTGTAGATGATGTTAGAGCACGAAAACTAGGGCGCGACTGGGCGAGGAGGATATTTGACCAATTGACAATGAAAAGGGAGAAGGACCAATTCGACACTCAGCCTAGTGTGAATTGAACACATAATCCACTTAGAGCATCTCCAATGGGGATGTCTACTCTCTTCCACATTCTTACACACGGGTCCCATTTTTTATCTCACAAATTTTATGTGTAGGACCTACATATCTCCACATTGATTTTGTTTTTCATTTTTCTATATCACCTTTAACCCACTTTTCATCCACTTTTACTCCTCGATTCCCGTGTAAAGTCTATTTGTGGACATTGTCATACACATTGTCTACAATTTACTCCTATCTCTCTCTTCCTTTTCATTTTTCTTACACACCACTTTCTCCATATTAAATTAAAATAATCATTCTATCTCTATCTCTCTCCTATGCCACGTAGGATAGACTTTACTCCAATCCATTACCCCATTGGAGATGCTCTTATCTTGCTCACATTTGGCCACTCACTAACAGTGCAGTTCATTTGTACTTAAAGTTCTTTTTTTGACCCTAACCAAAACAGTAACAAGAAGTATTTAAAAGAAATGAGGAAAAGAGCTGGTAAGGCAGGGAAGGATAAAGGGGGAATAGACCCCGAAGATGAACATTACTCTTCGGACCTATATCTCTCTTGATCTGCTTGAGGTTTGCTCCCGGTTTTAATACTATTATTATGATTAATGTGGCTTCATGGAATGTTAGAGGATTAAATAAATCCTCTAAGCATAATATAGTTAGGAATTTTATTAAATTAAATAAGATTTCTTTGTGTGGTTTTTTGGAAACAAAAACGACTAAGGATAAAATTTCAAATTTTGTTTCCAATAAATGGCCCGGTTGGCTATTCGAAACTAATCATGATTTTATTGTTGGTGGCCGAATGGTGGTTATGTGGAACCCGGGTGTCCTATCTTGTGTGGCGCGTGAGGTTAATAGGCAACATATACATGTCGAGTGTGTGTGCGGTATCACACAAACCACCTTCTTGGTCACTTTTGTTTAGAGTTTTTTCCACTTTTGGTCCTCCGACTATTATGTCATTGACACTTTTGGTACTCGATTTCACTTTTTTCCATTTTTAGTCCCTGACTTTTGCGCTAGAGACACTTTTGGTACTCGTCTTTGAAATTTTTCATATTTAGTCCTTCAACTTTCATTAAAGTGACAGTTTTGGTCTTTCAACTATTATAATAGTGACATTTTTAGTCCTCCAAATTTTGTGTCAAAATCACAATGGGAGGATTAAAAGTGTCAATTTGACAATACTCAGGAACTAAATGTGGGAAACCTTGAAGTCGGGGATTAAAAGTGTCTCTAGCACAATAGTAGAGGACTAAAAATGGAAAAATTAGAAATCGAGTACCAAAAATGTCATTGACATAATAGTCGACAGACCAGAAATGGCAAAAACTCCTTTTGTTTATCCGCTCTATACTGTTCTGGAGCGCAAATCTTTATGGAAATATCTTGCTAATTTAGGGTGCCGGTTTACGGAACCGTGGTTAGTTATAGGTGATTTTAATTGTGCGTGCGCTCCAAATGAGAGGTTGGGGTCTAACCCTGTAACACCCCCAAATTTCTCACCCAAAAATAATACTTTATTCAAAAGAAATATCAACTTTATTTGAAAACATCAGAGTTATGCAGCTGAAAACCAAAAGGGAAATCGGGTGCTACCGCCACACTCGGTTCTCCCTTAACCGAGTGCACAGGCTAATCACCACAGAAACAATTAAAGTCAATAAGTGTCTTGAAAATTAAATTAAACTGCAATGTTATCTACTAATTACATTTTCTCTAGCGGAAGCTCTCTCGAAATCAACATCATCAGCAAAGCATTACCTGTACAAAATCAAGTACAGAAAAAAAACAAAAGAAAACAAAAATTAGCAACAATGCTAAGTAAGTTCCACCTAACCCCATAAAATAATATAATTTAATATTTAAAAAAACATTTAGGAGGAAAAATCTTTTTAAAACAATTTATATCAATCACAAGTAAAACATAATTCACTAGCAAAATAATAGTACTTCAAATATAAGTAAATATTTCCAAACACAATAATTGCAAAATACCAAATATAAAATCACAAAAATCATTACAAATAATTCCAATCATAAATCAAACACCAAATATTTATCTCAAAATACTTATAAATACTTATAAACAATATTCATCATAATCAAACCAAATCAAATCCAAAAGTATTTGTACTTGGGAAAATCCACAAATAATTTAATTATTCAATCCAACTCGAATTCAACCCACATATAACCCAATCAAATAATACAAAAATTCCAATCAATCTCATAATTCAAGTTCACCTCAAATCCAATATATCCAATCAAATAATCCAAAACATCTCAAGTAGGGGGATTGAGGTTGATCCGGCTAAGGTTGATGTGATTTCTAAACTACCTCCCCCTACTTCGGTCCGTGCCATTAGGAGTTTTCTAGGCCACGCAGGTTTTTACCGTAGGTTCATCCAGGACTTTTCTAAGATAGCCCGACCCATGACTAAGCTCCTTGAGAAGGATACACCGTTTGACTTCTCAAAGGAGTGTTTAGAGGCTTTTGAGTGTTTGAAGGAGAAACTGGTCAAGGCACCGGTGGTAGTAGCTCCTGACTGGTCTTTGCCTTTTGAGATTATGTGTGATGCTAGTGATTTTGCAGTAGGAGCCGTTCTTGGGCAGCGTCGAGAGAAACATTTTCAGCCTATTTCTTATGCTTCAAAAACTCTCGATAGTGCCCAAGAAAACTACACTACCACCGAGAAAGAATTGCTTGCTGTTGTGTTTGCTCTTGACAAGTTTCGTCCTTATTTGATTTTGTCTAAGGTAGTGATATTCACCGATCATTCTGCTCTTAAATATTTGATGCAAAAAGTGGATGCTAAGCCTAGATTGATTCGGTGGATATTACTACTCCAGGAGTTTGATATTGAGATTAGGGATAAGAAAGGGGCTGAGAATTTAGCGGCTGATCACTTGAGTAGGTTAGAAAACCCCTTTCTTGATTCCTTGAGTGAGAGAGATATTGAGGGTACTTTTCCTGATGAGAGACTGTTGAGGATCGTTGATGAGGTGCCTTGGTTTTCTGACATCGCCAACTATCTTGTTGGGGGTGTTGTTCCTTCTGATTATACACCTCATCAAAGACGGAAATTTTTTGCTGATTTGAAATATTATTTCTGGGAGGAACCATATTTGTTTCGTATTTGTGCTGATCAGGTTGTTAGAAGATGTGTTCCCCTGAGTGAAGGAGTTGAGATTCTCAAACATTGTCACTCCGGACCGACTGGGGGACACTATTCTTTTAACCGGACAGCTCGTAAGGTGTTGGAATGTGGTTTCTTCTGGCCCACTTTGTTTAAAGATGCTCTAACGTTTGTGCAGGAATGTGACAGGTGTCAACGCACCGGGCCGGTTACCAAGAGGGATGAAATGCCCCAGAATTTTATATTGGCTTGTGAGGTATTTGATGTTTGGGGCATTGACTTCATGGGGCCGTTCCCGGGTTCTAAAGGTAATAAATTCATTCTGGTTGTTGTGGATTATGTCTCTAAGTGGGTTGAGGCTGAAGCTCTGCCCACAAATGATGCTCGAGTTGTGATTCGTTTTCTGAAGAAGTTATTTTCTAGGTTTGGAGTGCCACGAGTGTTGATAAGTGACTGGGGTACCCACTTTAGGAATGACCCGATGACTCGCCTTCTGGCAAAGTACGGGGTCACTCATAAAGGGGGCGTCCCTTATCACCCCCAAACTAGTGGCCAAGTTGAGAATTCGAATAGGGACATTAAGACCATTCTTGAGAAGACTGTTGAGACCCATAGGAAGGATTGGTCTGATAAGCTAGATGATGCGCTGTGGGCACTGCGTACAGCGTATAAGACACCCATTGGCACTACTCCATTTCACTTGGTTTATGGGAGAGCGTGCCACCTTCCGGTAGAGATTGAGCATAAGGCATACTGGGCCTTGAAAACACTGAATAAGGATTTGTCTTTGGCGGGTCGTGAACGGTTTTGGAAGCTCAACGAGTTGGATGAGTGGAGGCTTATGGCCTATGAGAACTCTAAAATTAGTAAGGAGCGTACCAAAGCCTATCATGATCGGCACATTAAGCAGGGAAAAGAGTTTTGTAAGGGGGATCAAGTTCTGCTATTCAATCCCCGAATGAAGATTTTTAAAGGAAAATTGAAGTCTAGATGGTCCGGTCCTTTTGTAGTGAGCGAAGTTTTTCCATATGGAACAGTTGAGATTGATCATCCTGAGAAAGGCCGTTTTAAAGTTAACGGCCATCATTTGAAGAAATACTACGGAGGACCGCTAGAACGCGAGCGTGAGGTGACCTTTGTCACGAATTTGGAGAGATGAGTGCGTAGTTGCGTCGGGCAAACGACGTTAAAAATAGCGCTTCTCGGGAGGCAACCCGAGCTTAATTTGTTTTTGTTTATTTTAGTTTTATTGCTTTTCAAAAAACCCACAAAAACCACAAAAAAAAAATCGATTTTTGCCAGGCACGGTCGTGCCTGGGCAGGCACGATCGTGCCTGAAAAAGGGGAAAACACGCGAGGCCACTGCCAGCCAGGCACGATCGTGTCTGGCTGGAGGCACGATCGTGCCTGGGACGCGAGAGGAGCGTGCCCACTGCCTGCCAGACACGATCGTGTCTGGCCTAGGCACGATCGTGCCTGGGACGCGAGAGGAGCGTGCCCACTGCCTGCCAGACACGATCGTGTCTGGCCTAGGCACGATCGTGCCTGGGCAATTTTACCGAACTACCCTCGCAAATTAAAAAAAAAAATACCCCAGCCCTTCTCCCCCCTTCCCCTTACGCGACCAGAATACCAAACCCCCCCATCGTCTCCCTCGACGCGAACGAACAACCACACCCACCGCCGAAGCCCGCCGAGACCACCGCCCACCACCGGCGACTTCCACACCGACGACCGCCGAACCCCTCTGCACTTCTCTCTCTTGTATTCACTCAAGGTAACGGTCATCTTCTTCCTCTCGTTCCTTTCCACCGTTAATGGAGTTCTTTGAAGCTTTT